CCACTCCCGGCTGTGCCGGGGTTGGTCTCTTGGGAGGCTTCCCTGTCTTCCCCCCGCCCGATGGGATGAGCATTCACAGGCACCAGCGTGGGGCGGCAGACAGGCCAGGAGCTGGTGCTCCCGCTCCCCTGCCCACGGGCTTTGTGCTAGCGACCTGGACCGCAGGCATGGCGTGGGCTCACGTGGCCACTACTGGATGCGGGCTGGGCACTGCTGGCCGAGGGCTGTGCTGGCTGTGAGGTGGGGGTGCCCATGGACACCTCCAGCCCAGTACCCTCAGGACGGTCGGGCTTCTCATGACTGAAGGAGACCACGTGGTCATGGCAGGGCCTTTCGTGGACAGAGCCCAGGACGCCACGAGGGAGGCGTGGGCCAGACCTGCCACGCTCCTAGGAAAGCGAGTCCCCCATGGCTGCCACTACCTGTGAGGCCACGGAGGCTGCAAACCACCAACTGATCTCCTGTCCGGTCTTGCTGAGGCTCATCAGGATGGGGCTGGGCTGTCCTCCCTGCGGGGGTTGGGGGTCAGAGGTCATAGGTGGCGTCTTGTTGCAGATGCCTGGTGCTTGCCGGGCGGCGTCCGCATGTTGTGGTGGACCCGGCCTCGCTCCTTCCTACAGTGAGGGCTGCGGGCGTCCCGCGTCCTGGCCTGGGAGGCCGTCTGCTGTCTGCTCACCCAGAGCCGTCACACAGTGGTTACGGGGTCTGGGTCCTCACCCGAGAGCCTGGGCTCAGTTCCGGGCCTGGCTCCCAGCAGTGCAGCCCCTGCCAGGGGGCCGTGATGGGTCAGGAAGGCGCCTACTGCCCGTGTGGGAGCCTGTGCTGTGTCCGCAGTTCCAGCTTTGACTGCGGCTGGGGCGCTGAAGCCTGGCCAGGGCTCTGAACGCACACAGAGCCCCGTGAGACTCAGGGCACTAGAAGGTTCTGGAAGGTCGCGTTGGCCATTCCGGGTCCACGGTCTCTCTGTGGCTGCAGGGGGACATACCCCAGCCAGGGCAGAGCCGAGCGAGGGTGGCCCCCTGGTGAGTCTTCCCTGCCCTGTCCACAGCCCCTCAGGCCGCTGGCTCCTTTCAGTGACCCCTGTGCCCTCCTGGGCCCTGCTCCTCGCACGTCCCCTGGCCAGGAGCAGCGCAGTCCCGGCCTCCCCCAGCTGTGGCCAGCCCTGCTCCGGCACAGCCTCCGTGGAGCACGCGCTCGGAAGACTTGCCGGAGTGGTGGTGACACAGCGGGCGTGGGGATCCAGGTGCGAGGGCGGCAAGGTCGGAGGGTGCCCGTCTGGAGAGCTCCGGGATGAGGCCACAGGAATTCGGCTTCAGAGCTGCCCTGGGGGACAGGCCCTGAGGGGGCCCCTGGTCTGCTGCGGGGAAGCAGGGGTGGGGCTCGGGGGGGAGGGGGAGGGGAGGAGAGGTCTGGGGGGCAGGGCCTGGGGCCGCGCCAGGGTCGTCACCAGGGTCTGGATACAGTTCTGGCTGTGTGAGAGCTGCCAGCCTTCAAAAGGGAGTGGTTTGTGCAACCATCAGTCAGTCACTCGATGGATGGATCCCGGAGGTGGGCTCTGTGCCTTCAGCTGACGACGCGGGAGCTGTCACAGGTGACCCTGGCAGGGGCTGAGCCGCGCCACACAGGGAAAGCCTCGGGCTGGCTCCAACATCGCCTTAGTGCCGGGGCCATGGACAGCGGCAGGCAGGTGCCCTGGGATGGGAGGCAGCGGCGGGTGTGTGTGTGTGTGTGTGTGTGTGTGTGTGTTCTGTTGTGTGCGGTTCCTGGCAGGTGAACAGGCAGCAGCAGGCCCAGCCTGGGGACGCCCTGTGTGAGGCAGCTGTCACAGGAGAGGGCGGACGGGTCCCCAGCTCCCCGGCAGGCTAACGGCTTGTGTGTGTCACGCCGGCTTCATGGCTTCCTCCCTGCCTCCCTTCCTAAGGATTTATTTATTTGAAAGAGTTACAGAGAGAGGCAGAGAGGTCTTCCATCCACTGGCTCACTCCCCAGGTGACGGCCACAGCCAGCGCTGGGCCAGGCCAAAGCCAGGAGCCAGGAGCTTCATCTGGGTCTCCCACGTGGGTGCAGGGCCCAAGCACTTGGACCATCCTCTGCTGCTGTCCCAGGCCATTAGCAGGGAGCTGGATTGGAAGTGGAGCAGCTGGGACTCGAACCGGCGCCCGTATGGGATGCTGGCGTCAAAGCCCACAGCTTTCCCCGCTATGCAGTCCCCTTGTTGCCATTTTCAAACCAGACCATCTGGGGCCCCGCGTTCTGGAAGGAGCTGGGGGTTTGCTGAGAGCCAGCATGGGTCCCCCTCACTCCTGCCAGTGGCACTGACTGGACACAGATGCGGGCAGCGTCCTCTGGGCCCTTGCTGCCCACGGACTCCACGTCGCCATCTTGTGGCTGCCTGGCGCCGCACGAGCTTCACGCTCTGCTGTGTTTCCCTCGCCGCTGCGGCGGGTCCGGGGGCTGGCACTGCTGGGGAGCCCTCTCTGAACCCCCAGCACGGCCCCGAGCAGAAGAGGCTTTGGCGAAACAAATCGAAATCTTCAAAATACGACCGCCCTGGGCCAGGAGAGCAGGCACCTGCTGGCCCTGCTGCCCGCTGCTGCGCGACGCAGCCTCCCCAGGGCGGCTCCCGGGTGCAGCACCCCAGGTCCACCCCTGCCGCTCAGCCGCCCTGCAGATGTCCCGCGGCACAGGGAAGCTTGAGACAGCACGGGGTGCGGAGGGAGGGTGACGGAGGGCACCGGGGGAGACGCTGAGAGCCAACGCCGCTGCTTTGTGCTTCCGTGGGGAGAATGTGTTTCTTAAGGGTTCGTTTATTCACGTGAAAGTCAGAGGTGCAGAGAGAGAGGGAGAAAGATCCCTCCCGCCAGTTCCTTCCCCACCCAGCTGCAACGGCCAGGCTGAAGCCAGGAGCCAGGAGCTTCTTCCCGGTCTCCCACACAGCTGCAGGGGCCCAAGCACCTGGGCCGTCTTCCACTGCTTTCCCAGGCCATCAGCTGGGAGTTGGTTTGGAAGTGGAGCAGCCGGGACTCGAACAGGTACCCATACGCGATGCCGGTGCTGCAGGCCGATGCTTAACCTGCTACCACATGGCGCTTGCCCAGGGAGGAGCAGAGGTATCCAGGCGTCACTAAGGGACGTTGGACCTACGTGTACAAAGCAAGCTCTACAGCCGGTGTCACCATGCTCTCGGCTGACAGCGGGTGACAGAACACCCTGCGGGGTCCAGGGAACACGTGGCCGGGGCACTTGCTGTCATTTGGCGTGGGGGCTGGGGTGGGGACCCTCGGTTGGAAGGTGACTCTGCAGGCCCCTGGTTCGACACAGTGCTCCCCAGACAGCACCGTGAGGGCCCGGGAAGCCTGCAGGGCCCGGCCTGGCTCCTCAGAGCAGTTTTGGTGAACGCATTTCACCCTGACGTCATGGCAAAGCCCAGACATCCTGCGCTGCCCCCGCTGGGGAGGGACCAGCCACCTGCCCTGTGGGGAGCTGTGCTGGGCACTGCAGACGCGGAGAAAGCTCTTCCTGCAGCCGATGCCGACGACGGCGCGGTTCCCCGGAAGGGCGGCGTGGGCTTGGGGAGCCTCAGGTGTCCAGGTCGGGGGAAAATCGGCCCCAAGTTCCTGCCGCAACTCCTCTCAGAGCTGTTTTCTGTAGACTTTGTTTATTTGAAAGGCAAACGGATAGAGAGGACGCACAGAGATCAATCTTCCATCTGCTGGTTCCCGCCCCAAATGGCTGCACAGCTGGGAGCCTGCAGCTCCACCTGGGTCTCCCACGCGTGCGCAGGGGCCCCAGTACTCGGGCCTGCCCCCTGATTCCCAGGCCCTCGGTCCTGCACGGTGAGGCTGGCAGTTGGCCTGGGAAGCTCAGAGGATGCTGGGGCCCGGGACACAGGCGCTAAACTGCAGGCCCTGGTTGGGAATCCACGCGGCCGCTCCCAGCCAAGGATCCACGGAGATAAAACAAGTCCCAACCTGGTGAACACCGGGAAACGGGGGGCAGGGCCTGCAGGTGCCACTGCTGGGGGCCCAGAGGGGAGGGCCCCACGCCCACCCTCCTGCCCTCACTGGGCAGAACTGCACTGCCTTGCTGTGGTTGGTCACAGTGTCTGAGGGGAGCCCAGGGAAGGTGCCAGAGGCTGCCTCTGGGGCCGGGGCCGGCACAGAGCTGGGCTCTTCCGCTGTGGACACTGCTGTGGGGCCGCCCTGGGCACCGCTGTCTCCAGGAAGATGGGGCAGACACGTGCTGCAGCCGTGTGTGTGGGGGGTGCGTGGCCGCTGTGGGGACCCAGGCCCAGGCTGGAGCCCTGCTGGCTCCACTTCCAGCTCCCCGAGGGCCCTCTGCACCATCCTCCACGGCGGCTGCCCCTCTGCCTCTCCGTCAACAGTCACGGGCTCATTTGTCAATGCGGACAGAGGTGAGGACCCTCCCTGCCCGCACTGTGTTCACCACAGCCGAGCGCAGAGGCCAGTGAGGGGGACGGAGAGTCACCCCACCACAGCCTCGACACCGGCTGCGGCCCAAAGCCACTGCGGACAGCGCAGGTGCGCAGGGAGGGGGTCCCCGGGCCTGGGGAGGCAGGGCTGCCATTGTGTGGGTGTGAGGTTCCGCCGTGGCAGGCAGCGGATGGAGACCGCGGCCCCTGCGATTCTGTGCCCGTGCCCGGGGTGGGACAGTGCTCCTGCTGTGTCACCATCACAGTCCTTAGAGCCCCCAAGATGGCTCGAGTCCTGTCCACCAGAAAGGATTCTCCAGGCAAAACCTTTGTTTGGCTTTCCCTGGCCTCTGCGTGTGCACCCAGCAGGTGGCAGACGGAGCCTGCACACAGGGCTGTGGGAGGGCGGGGCGGGGCGGGGCGGGGCGGGGCCAGGAGGCGTCACTCCCAACGCTAGGCAGGGCACTTACCTTCCCCAGGACAGCGTTGCTCATTCCTGAGTCTTCAGCTGGTTAGGTTCTGTCGTTTCTATGGTGATAGAAAACTTGCATTTTCTTTGGTTCTTAAAGTCACAGCTCTTGGACAATCAAAGCTTCCTGGTGTGAGCAGATCGGGGTCTCGCGCCTGCGGCTTTCCCTGCGGGGTCGCTCTGCTCAGCGAGGGTCCCGCCGGGCTGCTGCAGCAGCTCCCATGGCACCAGGGAGCGGGGCCACCCCTGGGGGCAGCTGGCGCACAGGTTCCCGCCGGTGGGGGTGGGGGCCGGTGTCGCCCCCAGGAACTGCCTGCACCTGTTGCGAGCCACCTGTCTCACCTCTTATTCTTGCTGGCGGTTTTCCCGCCGAGGTGGCCGCGTGCGGCACTGGCCAGGGTGCTGAGGGCGAGGGGCCGGGCTGTGCCTCTGCCGAGCGTCACAGCAAGCAGCCGCGGGTGCCTGTGCCAGCGGAGGCGTGCGACGGAGGCGCACGTGTGCAAGAGCACCGACGAGCGCGTTGTGGCTGGAGGTGCAGGTGAGCCTGACCCTGGCGCCCCCACACGTCAGCGCTGGGCTGTTTCACAGAACGGAGCGAGCTCCGGCTCCCTCACCGCCAGCACGGCGCCCGGCACCTGCCTGCCCCGCGGGGCTGCGGGAGGCGAGCTCAGCTCCGCTGTGCTGGCCAGGGCTCCATGGGCCCTTCCCAGGGTGGGTGCCGGTGACGCCCCTCCTGCCCCAGCCTGCTATGGACAGTGCAGAGAAGGTACCCCGAGACGCCTTAGGGTGCCCTGGAGAGTGGTGGTGGGTGTTCACCTAGCAGTGAGCGTGGTGTCCACTGTGGGTGCCGTGGTGGGCAGTGTTCACCTGGGCAGTGAGTGTGGTGTCCACTGTGGGTGCCGTGGTGGTGGGTGTTCACCTGGGCAGTGAGTGTGGTGCCCACTGTGGGTGCTGTGGTGGGCAGTGTTCACCTGGGCAGTGAGTGTGGTGTCCACTGTGGGTGCTGTGGTGGTGGGTGTTCACCAGGCAGTGAGCGTGGTGTCCACTGTGGGTGCCGTGGTGGTGGGTGTTCACCTGGGCAATGAGCGTGGTGTCCACTGTGGGTGCCGTGGTGGGCGGTGTTCACCTGGGCAGTGAGCGTGGTGTCCACTGTGGGTGCCGTGGTGGTGGGTGTTCACCTGGGCAGTGAGCGTGGTGTCCACTGTGGGTGCCGTGGTGGGCGGTGTTCACCTGGGCAGTGAGCGTGGTGTCCACTGTGGGTGCCGTGGTGGTGGGTGTTCACCTGGGCAGTGAGCGTGGTGTCCACTGTGGGTGCCGTGGTGGTGGGTGTTCACCTGGGCAGTGAGCGTGGTGTCCACTGTGGGTGCCGTGGTGGGCGGTGTTCCCCTGGCAGTGAGCATGGTGTCCACTGTGGGTGCCGTGGTGGGCAGTGTTCACGTGGGCAGTGAGCATGGTGTCCACTGTGGGTGCCGTGGTGGGCGGTGTTCACCTGGGCAGTGAGCGTGGTGTCCACTGTGGGTGCTGTGGTGGTGGGTGTTCACCTGGGCAGTGAGCATGGTGTCCACTGTGGGTGCCATGGTGGGGCGCGTGTCCTATTCCTCGGCCAGCTGCCCGGAGCGGGGATGCGGCACAGGGACCTCTGCAGCCGAGTCAGGGCAGCGTCTCCATCTGCACCCGGCTGAGGGCCACAGCCGTGCTGCCCTTGGAGACCTCCTGCCCCGGGGTCTCCTGCGCTCGGCTCTGGGGGACCACAGCATGCGGCCCCCAGGGCCTTGGGCAGCCTCCTCCCTGCCGGGCCAGGCACTGAGACGGGAACAGCACGAAGCTGGACAGGAAGGCGGGACAGGCACAGCGAGAGTCTCGGCCCTTCCCGGTGCCAGGAACCGGGGCCTCTGGTTCCCAGCTCCGCGGCAAGGCTCCGCCCATGCCCTCATGCCAGGGAGGAGCCCACTGGGGCTGCGGCTGGGCCCCGCCTCCGACGCCCTGCTCAGGGTCACGGTTCCCCTCAGGTCAGGGTTGGGGACACCAGACAGTTCTCCATGACTCACGGCCCAGACGTCCTCCCAGACAGCAGTGGGGCCGTTGGAACCATCTCTCCGGGTGTGTGCTGACGGTGCCTGCGGCTTCCCCAGGGCAGGGCCGCCCTCCTGGCTGGTTCCCGGCCGCGCCACCAGCTTCTGCAAGGGAGAAGCCATGCCCTGGGTTGTCAGCTCACACCTGGCTCTCGCTGTGCCTGTCCCGCCTTCCTGTCCAGCTTCGTGCTGTTCCCGTCTCAGCGCCTGGCCCGGCAGGGAGGAGGCTGCCCAAGGCCCTGGGGGCCGCATGCTGTGGTCCCCCAGAGCCGAGCGCAGGAGACTGCGGGGGAGGAGGTCTCCAAGGGCAGCACAGTTGTGGCCCTCAGCCGGGTACAGATGGAGACGCCGCCCTAACTCGGCTGCAGAGGTCCCTGTGCCGCATCCCTGCTCCGGGCAGCTGGCCGAGGAATAGGACACGTGCCCCACAGACCCCGAGCTCGCCGGGTTGTGCAGGGACAGGAGGAGACAGCTCAGGCCAGAGCTGGTCTGAGCACGGTCCAGGCCCAGCCATGGCTAACACAGGCCCACGGCTGACACCGTACCCAGAATGGGATGGGGAGGCATGAGGAGTCGTGCAGGCAGCTCCAGCCTGTCGGGGAGGAGGGGGCCACGTGGAGCCTGCTGCACCGTCGACAGGCAGAGCTAAACGCCCGCGGAGTGGAGGGGGCCACATGGAGCCTGCTGCGCCAGCGACAGGCAGAGCTAAGCGCCCGCAGAGTGCAGGGGGCCACGTGGAGCCTGCTGCGCCAGCGACAGGCAGAGCTAAGCGCCCGCAGAGTGCAGGGGGCCACGTGGAGCCTGCTGCGCCAGCGACAGGCAGAGCTAAGCGCCCGCAGAGTGCAGGGGGCCACGTGGAGCCTGCTGCGCCAGCGACAGGCAGAGCTAAGTGCCCGCAGAGTGCAGGGGGCCACGTGGAGCCTGCTGCGCCATCGACAGACAGAGCTAAGTGCCCGCGGAGTGCAGGGGGCCACGTGGAGCCTGCTGCACCGGCGACAGGCAGAGCTAAGCGCCCACCGAGTGCAGGGGGCCACGTGGAGCCTGCTGCACCGGTGACAGGCGAAGCTAAGCGCCCACCGAGTGCAGGCCTGGCCCTGCAGCCCAGACTTTGAGGTTTCGGAGTCAAGGCCGGCTCCGGGCGACGTGGCGGTTGGGCCCCTGCATTCTGTAATTGCAGATAGGATTCCGCATTTCGTGGCCGTGGTCTTGTGGCTCCCAGCGGCCCTGCCTCCGGTTCTGTTCTGAAAGCGTGGGGCCCACGAGGCCTCTCTTTTGGGCCCGGGTGGCAGCCTTGGCTCCGGGAATCGGCTGGTTTTCCACTTACGGGGCATCTGCGGGCTGCCACGTTGCTTTGCAAGGCCACTGACAGCAAAACATCGTGGCAGGGGGATTGCGAGAGACAGCAGCCGTGAGTGATGGTTCCCCCGGGCGTGCGAGGGGTGGGGGGTGACCTCATCTCCTCCAGGGCCGCGCGGCCCCATGACCTCACTTGTGTTTCGGATGCTTTACCCCTAGACTCATTCGAATGAGCCGCTGTTCCACGCCCGGGGAGGGCCCCGCCTGGCCGCCTCTGGGGTCCCGGAGCTGACCTCATGCCGGCCCTGCAGGGCGAGTCTCCTCACGGCAGACTGAGAACGCCGGGCCGGGCCAGTGCAGAGCCCCCTGCAGGCTCTGCGGGAGCCGGGGCGCCACGCGTGTGGGTGGCGGCCCCCAGGAGGTCTGCACTCGGGCATCAGGGAATGTCTACGCAACCGAGTAAAAGCGGTTGAGCTTAGCGAGTTACTTAAGCGTGGGGTGGTGTGATTGTGTGGCTCACATATTGTCTTTCTGTCCTCAACACTCAGCCAGAGTGTGCAGTTGGAAACTCCGCCCCCCCCCCACGTGCACAGAGCAGCTGGGGCCTTTGCGTACGGTGGGGAGGGGGCATCCCAGCACCCGAGCACCCCTCGTACTTCCGTCTCCCTCTCCTCTGGGGCGGTGCCTCTGAGAGCCCGCGTGGGACTTCCCTCAGCACAGCACTGCGGCGGCCGCGTGGTCTGCCCGCAGCGGGCGGTGGGCTGCACTGCTGCTCCCTCTGACGTGCACGGGTTTCCTGCTGTCTGGGGGAACCCGTGCAGAAACCAAGCACCCCCGATGAAGACGCCGCTGGCATCTAGTGTGTTCTAGACATGCACAAACCTTGTCCAGAATGGGAAGACTCCGCCTGGCTGCCCACAGCCACTCAGAAGTTTCTGGAACTTGGCTTGAACGTGATGGGCACATCAGTGGGGCCGACCGCCAGGCCTCCTCAGCTGCACCCTCTGCAGCCAGGGCACCCGGACCGCAGGCCCTGGGTGGTGCCATCCGGGGGACGTGAGCCCAGCTCTGCCTGCACTGCTGTGGGCCATCATCGCTGCTCAATGTGTTAGCAGTTTCCCAAAACTGGGTGTGAGACGCCCGCCCGCTGAGAGCCGTGCGTTAGCCTTCCGACGAGTGAGTCCGCCGATTAGCAAGGCCTCAGGAATGTCTGCCGGCCCCTCCAGGCTGCCTGGCTCCTGCTGTCTCTCTGCACCTCTCAGCACGTCAGGTCACCGCGCGGCGGCTCGCACCTTCATCCCTGACCTGAAGCGACTTTGTCTCCCCTGCTCTGTCCTCCCCTGGAGCCGCAGGGTCTGGGTTCGGAACACGTTCGTCTCCTCCCTGACGCTCCAGTGCCAGCTCCCCGGGTGTGAATCTTTTTAAGATTAATTAATTTATTTGAAAATCAGAGAGAGAGAGAGAGAGAGAGAGAGAGAGAGAGAGAGAAGAACGATCTTCCATCTACCGGTTCACTCCTCAGATGGCTGCAACAGCCAGGGCTGGGCCAGGTCAAAGCCAGGAGCCAGGAGCCTCATCCAGGTCTCCCAAGAAGGTGGCAGGGCCAGTCGCTTGGGCCGTCCATGCTGCTTTCCCTGGTGCATTAGCAGGGAGCTGGCACAGAAGCGGAGCAGCCGGGACTCGGAGTGCCTGCAGGGTGTCATGGGCGGGGCCTTACCTGCTACAGCACACCAGCCCCCAGGGTGTGACTCTTCCTGGGGTCTCACGGAACGTATCCGAGGGCAAGTCTGTCACCCAGCCACAGGTGGAGCTGCTGGGAGTCCCTCTGGGCCCAGAGCAGTTCTAGCTCTTGGCAGGTGTCTGAGCACAAGTCAGCCTGGGAGTGCAGCCTCGTGGGCAGCCAAAGCAGCCTGGTGCCTGTGGACTTACACCCCGATGTCACGTGGTGCCCATGGGCTCACACCCTGACATCACGTGGCACCTGTGGGCTCACACCCCGACGTCATGTGGCACCCACGGGCTCACACCCCGTCACGTGGCGCCTGTGGACTCACACCCTGACGTCACGTGGTGCCCGTGGACTCACACCCCAACATCACATGGTGCCCGTGGACTCACATCCTGACGTCATGTGGTGCCCATGGACTCACACCCCGATGTCATGTGGTGCCCGTGGACTCACACCCTGATGTCATGTGGTGCCCGTGGACTCACACCCCGATGTTACGTGGTGCCCGTGGTCTCACATCCTGATGTCATGTGGTGCCTGTGGTCTCACATCCCGATGTCACGTGGTGCCCGTGGACTCACACCCCGCCTGATGTCACAAGGTGCCCATGGACTCATACCCCAACGTCACGTGGTGCCCGTGGACTCACACCCTGATGTCACAAGGTGCCCATGGACTCATACCCCGACGTCATATGGTGCCCATGGACTCATACCCCGACGTCACGTGGTGCCCGTGGACTCACGTTGCTGGGGCCTTCTCTCCGGGAGGGCGTCTCCAGGCTTCCTCGGGCACGGGGCATCTGCGGGGGGCAGGTGATGACGGCCGTGTCCTCGCCTCTGGACTCCGCCCGCTGCCTGCCTGTGTGGGGAGCCCTGGAGCCTGGGGGCGAGCCCGAGGTTCTGAGGGCATTAGCAGGCAGCAGAATCAGCCGCAGAGCTGGGGCTGGGCCCAGGCATCTGATTTAGGATGTGGGTATCTCTAGTGGTGCCTTTACCCACGGCACCACCCAGAGGGCAGTGAAACCCCCGGCCCCGCGGTGGCCTGGACCCCCACCTGCTGCTGCTCCCACCTGCCCTGGCTTTGCCCGCAGCCGCGCTGTCCAGTGCAGGCTCCTTCCTGTCTCAGTCACAGAGGGGTCCCAGGGCTGGGATTGAGCTGCACGGCCACCTGTGCCCTCAGGTGTCTCAGTCACCCCTCCTGTCTCAGAGCACAGCTCTAAGACTGCCCCCCTCAGACACCGTCTGCCTGCCCATGGCCTAACCCTGCCCATCGCCCCTCCTTCGCCGAGAAACGCAGGTCCCTGCACCCCACCATGGGAGGAGGCGGCCTTTTCCTTCCCCCTTCAGCCCCACGCACCTGCTGAGCTCTCCTGCGCTGCCCCACCAGCCCAGCCCTTGTCGCTCGTCCAGCCCTGGCCCAGCCCCGTGTCTTAGACTTCTCAGCTGGTGCTGGAGTGAGCTTCCAGGGCGAACAGCCACCCTGGCGTCAGGAGAATGCACCCCCCCCAACGTGTCCCTGAGCTGACAGGCGAGGGGCCCTCAGCAACAGTGGGGGGGGGGGGTCCACGGGCGGGGAGACAAGAGACAGGCTCGGGGCGGAGCCATTTGATTAAAATTTCTATTTGAATTAAGTCTATTTGAATTCACTATAGAAATGATCGCACATTCTTAGACATTCTGGCACTTACTCTGCCTGCTTTGGGAAGGGTTTCTCCCTCAGGATCAGAACCCCTGCGAGGAACTGTTCCCGAAGGCAGATTCCCCACAGAGGGGCTGCCCAGCCCCGCAGGGAGAGCCAGGCGCAGCGGGCTGAGATACCTGATACGTGATGCGTGGCTTACCACACCTGAGACAAGGCGTGGCCTGTGGTGTTCCCTCACCGGAAGCGCCTCTGGGATCCATACCAGGCACAGTCGGGCCAGGTCCCTGGCACAGCCAGCAGAGCCCACCTCGAAGCAGCTCAGGGGGGCACGGGTGGTCATGCAGCTCAATCCCCGGACCCCTGGGGCCCCTCTGCCCGCCTCAGTCTGTGCTGTGGGGCGAGGCTGGCGGCTCGTGGTTGGGAGGACTGGGGCGCGGCCACGGTCAGCTCACAGAACGGCGCCGATGACCTGGTGGTACCTGGCTCCCGGCGCCACGCCGCTCTCTCCCTGGAAGCAGGGCGCTGCTTCCAGTGTGCCGAGCTCACACGCCTGGTCTGACTCCCAGCTGCCGCCCGCAGGGCCACCATCCTCAACCTACAGACAAGGACACTGACGTCAGAGAGGCTGAGAACTTGCCGTGGTCACAGGTGGCGGGGGCTGGGTGGCGGACGGCGCCTCCTCTACCCGTGCTGTGGCTGCAGGACAGGCCCTGTCACCGAGAGCTCCTTTAGGAGCTGGGAGGGCAGCCACTGCCCTGAGAGCTCACCTCCCACCGTCAGCCCGCCCCCACCCCTGCACCGCCCGCCAGCCGCTGCATCCACGGGGCAGCAGGCCTGGAGACCCGGGCAGCGGGGCCTGTGCTAAGGACCAGGCGGTTTAAGGATTAACCTGATCCCCTGCACGTCCCCTCTGCCTCCCTCTGCCTCCCTCTGCCTCCCTCTGTGAACCGTGGGCAGAGCGTGCGAGACTGCACCCAGCCGAGTCCGCACCTGAGCGTCTTCCTGCCGAGTCATGGAGAGCCCCCGCGTTCCTCTCCCTAAACCACGTCCCCAGTGACGGCGGCCCAGGGGCGAGATCAGGGCAGCTCGGAGGCTTTGGGAAGGTGACTCGTGGACGGCCACTGAGCACTGCGCAGGGCCTGAGGTCGGGCCAGCAAGGCGGCTGAGCGGCTGCACAGCGCAACGGCCTGGGATGCGCCGTTCCGGAGCTGAGGGCTCTCGACCCGGCGTCCCCGGGCACCGCCAGCCGGTGGGGGACTCGTGGGGAAGTGAGTGGGCGGGGGGCCGCTTCCGGTCCCAGTGCCAGGCTCAGCCTCACAGGCAGGAAGCGCAGCAGCGTCCCCAGTCACTAGCGCTCAGTGACGTGAGAATCAGAGGAGAGGCCACCAGCGATGTCATGAACTCCCTGGGGAAGACGTCACCCTTCTTCCCGAGAGGCAGGGTGGCCCAATGGCGAGATCTGAGAAACTTTGGGGACGCCCACGCGAGGCCGAGGCCTGGTCTAGGGGCCTTGACACTGTGAAATCAGGTTAGGGCCGAACCTCGGACACGGCTCCCAGGAACAGGCAGCAATGCAAGGACCGAGACCCCGGAGCCCCGGGTCCTGCACCTGCAGGCCTGGGGTTGGCAGCCTGCAGTGTCGGGGGCTCGGGGAGGTGAGGCCGCCCACTCGGAGACCAAATGTGCCAGTGCACGGCCTGAGAGCGCGGCGGGGATACGGGTCACCCCAGCACTTCCCCTGGATTGCAGTGACCTGGGGCTGGGGGAGGCTCTCGGGGAACCGGGGGACATTCAGTCCTGGAGAGCCAGTGGGGCCGCTGTCTTCTGGGGTAGCAAGCTCCGGGGTGGGGGTGAGCCCCAAGTGCGCCACTGATGTCCCCAGAGACTGTGTCCCCGGGGGCAGCCCGGCCCCGCCCCACAAGAAGCGTCAGTTTAAGAAGCAGAGCCTCCCTCATCCATTTGGAACAAACCGGGCCCACACCCTCGCGCCTGGCCAAGCTCGGTTCTGAGCAGGTTCCCCACGGGAGGCCGTCCTGACGCTGGCGGCACCGGCACCGTGGCCGTGGTGGGCAGCACTGGGCAGGGGCTGGGATTCTCTCCGGGAGGACCGGGTCCTTGCTGGGCTCCTGCGGGCTGACTTCCTGACTTCCAGACAACTTTTCCTTCCGGTCTCTGGAGCGCCTGCACCGTGTCCAGTTCCCCAGCGTCTGCTGTGCTCCAGGCTCAGGGGCCTGCATGCGGCCGCCGGGAGCCTCGGGACCCGGCCCCACGAGTGCGGCAGCATTAATTACAGGGCACCCTCCTGCCCTTCCACAAGCAGCCTTTTGTTCCTGTGCTCAGAGGCTCACCCGCCGGAAACTCCCCTGCAGCGCAAAGACGGGGACCCTGAGAGCCGCCCGCCCCTGGTGCTCCTGCTTCTGCCAGCTAAGCGGCTGCGGGGGCTGGGTGGCCACGGGGCCGCGGGGACCCTGGTGCTGTTTGTGCGGCTTCCCCAGCGCTGGGCCCACAGCTCCGAGCCGCCCCTGGATCACGGGAGACGGAGACCCTGGCTGAAGCGGATGTGACCCTGTGCAGGACGGCAGCACCAGCCTCCCGCGTCTCCGATCTCACATGGCGACGGCGCTGGCCGGCATCCTGTCTGCACTGAACCACAGAAGCCCTGATTATAGAGAGCGGGCGTCTCTTCCCACTCTGGGGCCCGGCCAGGCCAGGACCGAGGCGGCGTTTGCTGTGTGCTGCAGGCCTGCTGGTCGTGGTGGCCGGGTGCAGGGGCAGCCGGCAGAGCGGATGGCCAGAGCCTCCGCTGTCTCTGGGGTCCGAGTTCCCTCTGCGAGGGCCCTGACGCTCCTGAAGTCCTCTGAGCACCGTCCTGAGCGGGGGTGGGGCCCCTCCTCTGAGCACCGTCCCCTGAGTGGGGGTGGGGGTTCCCTCAAACCAGAGCCCGTCCCCGTGGCTGCTCCAGGCGAGGCACTGGGCTGTGCTCTCGGGGCGGGTGAGCATGACGAAGGGCTCATCTCTCCCCCGAATGCCCACTTCCCTGCCTGCCATGGTGCTGGCCTCGGTGGCCCCAGAGCCCTGGCCCTCTGCTGTGGCAGTCTCTGTAGCCACGCCTCCAGCCAGAGCAGCTTGGCTGGTCCAAGTGTGCACCCCTCCCCGCTCTGCTCCCAGTGCCCCCTGGTGGCCACAACTCAGGCCTGTGGCCAGCGTGACTGCCCCACTGGGACACAGGCCTGTCTGGGGACAAGGCAAGAGTGAGGCCCATGTCGTCTGTCTGCCTGGTTTCGTTTGCAGGACGGCATCCGCTAACTGCTGAACTGTGGAGTGGGGAAGGGGTGGGGTGGGAGAGCCTCGGGGCAGCTTCGTTCCGGCTCTGTGGACTGCGGAGTTGGTTTGCTTAGACTTCCGCCGAGTTGCACAACCCCTGCTATGATTCGCTGTTCAGAGGCAGGACCCCAGCTCTGAGCTCATCCTGCCCGGAAGACCCGAGGGCACAGATGAACGGGAGGCTGTGCTGGTCGGGGCTGCGGTGCCAACAGAAACACCTGCACATGAGTGCAAGGTGGGCCATTGCTTCCTAGAGGCACCGCACAGAAGCCAGGAAGGGAGATCAGCTTACAAAGTCACAGCGGAGGGTTTCAGGCTGCTTGGAAAAATGGCAGGTGTCCTATTGCCTCCTAACACAAAGAACAATTCACACACGCGCTCGCCTTCCTGGGCACTCCGAGGGGCGGGGCTGTGTGTCCTGAGACCCCTCTGGAGCCCTGGGGTCCCCCCCCAGCAGCCCTGAATTAGAGCAATGCAATGCTTCCCAGTGCTCGGGTCTCAGAGGGTCGGCACCCTTGGGCCGGCTCTGCTGCGAGGTTTAGCACCTGGGGGTCAGAGAGGCCGGGGCGGCAGCAGAGGCAGGAAGTGGCCAGGCACTGCACGGGGCTGTGGCTGCATGGGCACAGGCCTGAGAGGGCCAGGGGATGGCTGGGTGATCTCCAGGCGCATCCTGGTCTCAGGTGCCCCGGCGAGTGGGCAGGTGGGCAGGGCGTTGGCGAGCAGACTGGAGGCCTCTGTGGTCCCCGTCCTCTGTGGTGATGCGATGATGTGGTGACAAGGTGACGTGGTGCTGTGATGATGTGGTAACATGATGACGTGATGACGTGGTGATGTGGTGACGTGGTGACGTGATGATGTGACGTGGTAACGTGGTGACGTGGTGACGTGACAGAAAGGTGTGCACTGCAGGGATCCTGAGTGAAGTGACCTGAGAACAGACACAGGAAGTGACCCCTGCTGACCGCAGCTGCCCAAACCACTTCTGGGTCTCCCACATGGGTGCAGGGGCCCAAGGACCTGAGCTGTCTTCCACTGCTTTCCCAGGCCACAGCAGGGAACTGGATCAGAAGTGGAGCAGGTGGGACTCAAATCGGCACCCATGTGGGATGCTGGTGTCACGGTCAGCGGCTTTACCCGCTGCACCACAACGCCGGTCCCCAGTCATTTTTAATTGTTTCTGTGCAGGTTCATGGGGGAAACCCCTAAGAGGACAATCGGCTTCTTTCCGAGTAGGGGGCGGGGCTTGCCCGGGCCTGGGGGCTTGGTTCTGGAGCCAGCCTCCAGGGGCCTGGGGGCAGAACCGGAAACCACGAGGCTGTCAGTCATCCTGGGCTGGCTGGTCCAGCGTTTCCTGGAATCAGAAGCCCCCTGTGTGCCTCATGGGCGTGGGGGAGGGGCGGGCAGGCCCCAGGGAGTGCCGAGGTGGGAAGAGGCCGGGTTTCTAACAGGTGCAGCCCGTGAATGATTAACCCAGGAGCTGGACCCAGTGCAGGCTGGGAGAAGCTGAAGCGGGGGCAGGGCAGGGGTGGTAAGGGCTGCGTGGGCCTCCGGGCCGTGGGGGAGCTGTCAGCGGGTCAGCAGTGGGTGTCCAGCTGCCTGAGGCTCTCGGGGCTCCCCTGGCCGGGGACAGCCGTGGGCGAGCGGGCCGTGGAAGGAAGATGGACTTGCTGCTCCTGCCAGGGCCAAGGCGGGAAACCACCAGGAGCCGCCGAGCCCAGCTTCTTTGGGACAAAAAGCAGCGCAGGAATTTAATTTCCCGGGCGATTAACTGGCGCCTCTGGGGATTAGCGGTGACCGCAGCCTCATGGTCGCGTGGCCCAGCCCTTAGTCCACGAGCAGCCACGGCGCCTCGCAGGTTTCTGATTACAAGGAAAACCCACAGCACAGCAAAGCCTGCAGGCAGAGAGCAGGCGGCCCCAGGAGTGCTGGCTGCAGCCGAGGGGGTGGCTCCTGGCGCTGCTGGGAGAGTGGCCTGGGTTTCATTTTGGTCTCTGGAGGGAACAGCACAAAGCAACAGGCAGCATTTGTGTGAGGAAACCCGGCCCCGCCCCTGCCCTGCCCTGCCCCTACCCAGCCCTGCCCAGCCCAGCCCTGCCCAGCCCTGCCCCTACCCAGCCCTGCCCAGCCCAGCCCAGCCCTGCCCTGCCCCTTCCCAGCCCTGCCCTGCCCTGCCCCTGCCCCTTCCCCTGCCCAGCCCAGCCCTGCCCAGCCCTGCCCTGCCCCTTCCCAGCCCTGCCCCTACCCAGCCCTGCCCTGCCCCTTCCCAGCCCTGCCCTGCCCAGTCCAGCCCAGCCCCAGCCCCGATTTGCCCTGCCCCTGCCCCTTCCCCTTCCCCTGCCCTGCCCAGCCCTGCCCAATCCAGCCCCTTCCCAGCCCTGCCCAATCCTGCCCAATCCAGCCCCTGCCCTGTGCTCCCTGCCACCGGTTCTCGTCCAGTTCTCCCCGAGGACGGTCATCTCCCGGGCCTTGTCCTGCCCACGTAATCTCACGCAGTTTCCTGCAGCACAGGGCCAGGGCCCAGGCCAGCCTGGGTGAGGCTCCCGGGGGCTGCCCCCGGTTTTCTTCTGGGTTGGGTTCCAGGCTACAAGCCGCCCGCATGGCTCCTCCTCCTGCAGGCTGGGATTTCTCTGGGAGAGGTGGGAGCCCTTCCGGGACCAGGACCCCTGTGGAAAGAGAGGCACAGATCCCTACGTTTGAGCTATGTGAGGGTGTGTGCATCACGTGTGTGCTGTATGTGCACATGGCATGGGAGTGTGTGTTGTGTGTATATGCCGTGTCTGTGAGTGTACTTCTGCATGCATGTGTGCGCATTGCGTACACGTGTTCATGCATGAATTGTGTGTGTAAAGACTGTAACACACAATGCCTGGGATGCGCCGGGCTGGAGACCCGCCCCTCTCTGAGCTGTGCACTGTATCTGATGCTACAGTCGGGTCACACTCCGGCAGCGTGCTCGGAGCATCTCCCTCACCTGTACTGTGCGCGTCTGGCCGAGCCCCTGCTGACACCTGGCCCCCGGCAGTGACCGCCAGGGAGGGGGAGGGGAAGACAGGGGTGCAAAGCAGAGCCGCTCCCCGTCGCCCACGGCAGGCGCCCACTCCGCACGCCATCCCCTGCTCTTCCTCGCGGCCAGCACGCTGGGCTTGGCTCCTTCCCCGGGGTGCCGGCCTTCTCCCTCCAGCACCCTGGTCAGCCTCTTGCTCTCCCTGTGCGTCCACCCCACAGGGCATCTACTGAAGCTAGGGCCAGGGGCCTGCAACCCCTGCTGCTGCTTCTGGGGCTCCCGTAGAGGGCTCGTCCCACCGAGGACCACCCCATGTGCACAGGGTCACAGTTTGACCCCATGATGGACTCACCAGCCCCTGGGCTGAAGGTGGGGGTCCTGGGCCCCTGCCCTGGG